TAGTGGGGAAGGCAGACTCATAATTATAAGTCACAGATTAAGCTGAGGTATAAACCAAATGCTCGGGGTTTAGAGCTCATGACCCATTCTGGAATCATGTTCCCACTCCACACTCTCAGCTAGGGAACAGCCCTGTGGTGGGCTTTCTCAGATGGTCACTAGTTGAAGGAGCTGTTTCTGGCCACAGGGAGAAAGCAAGTGGAAAGGGGCAAGCCAGCACAGGCCATGGGTCTGGTTGCTGACTGAAATCTCGAGTGAGCTCTCAGGGCCTCAGCTCCTGCCTGTAAAGCAAGTGGCTGGGATAGAGGCCTCCAAATCCCTCACAGAACCCACACGGTATTCTATCACTTTTAAACACACACACACACACACACACACACACACACACACACACGTTTATTGACTTCAGAGAGGAAGAGGGAGAGTTAGAAACATCAATGATGAGAGAGAATCATTGATTGGCTGCCTCCTGCGTGCCCCATACTAGGGATCGAGCTTGCAATCAGGGCATGTGTCCTGACCGGGAATCGAACCATGACCTCCTGATTCATAGGTCAACGTTCAACCACTGAGCCACGCCAGCCAGGCCTATCACTTTTTGACATCACAGGTCAGTCAGTGCTTGAAGATTCTCTTCCTGGAAATTCCCCAGTCAGGACCATCAGGACCTTTTCTTCCCTAAGTAGAGGGAGGAGTCCTTGACCTGGGCAGGGTCTAGGTACCAGGCTCACCAGCATGGCTCAAGGGAAGCCCCTTGGAAGCCCCAGAAAACTTGTGATGGTAAGTTAACACCTGGGCAGGGGTAAGTGGGTAGAGGATTATGGCCAGTGTACTAAGGTCTGTCCTACCCCCAACCTATGGCCCAGCCCAGTGGAGGGGGTGGGCAAAGCATGGTGGGTTGGAGTGGGGAGAAGGCTAGTTAGACATAGGCAGAACCAGGGCAACAAGTAAAGGAGGGTTGCTCCCAAGGAACGAGTTCTAACACTTTAGGACTGTCCAGTTCTCTGCCCACAAACCTGCCACATTCCCTTCCTTCCCACTTCACACAAATGGCAGATAAACCCTAGATTTCTGGGCACCTAGACCAGCATGCACGCCCCCTTCTCTCTCAGCCCTCACCTCTGAAATCCCTGTCCCCCATCTGTCCTCCAACTTCTGGTCTCAGGAAATGGTTCCCTTCTTCTGTCCAAAGCCCAGCCCTGTTCTCAAGTCCTGGCTTCCACTTCTAGAGGGATATAAATAATAATAATAATAATAATGCCACCACCTAACATAGGAAGTTTCTTTCCATTAAATAGTGTACATTTAATTAGACTCTTCCCTGCCCCCACACACATCTTCAGCATTATCCTGTGCTGAGGCCTTCGTTTTTTGTTGTTTTTTAAAATATAATTTTATTGATTTCAGAGAGGAACGGAGAGGGAGAGACAGAAACATCAATGATGAGAGAATCATTGATCGGCTGCCTCCTGTACACCCCGGACCGGGCATATGCCCTTGACCGGGATCAGACCTGGGACCCTTCAGTCAGGCTAGGGTGAGAAGGCCTTCGTTTTTACCCTGCTCTCCTACCTCCTGTCCAATTTTTTCCCATTTCTTCTCACCTCCCAAGACACCACAGCTGCTGCCACACTCTGCCTTAGCCCTTTGCAATCTGTTCTCTCTCAAAAATCCTGTTCCTGAAATGGCCTAAAGCCCTACACCTCACCCGCTTACTCCTGCAGCATTGAGAGCCGCCTCCTGGAAGCTCTCCTCTCCCCTGGCCTCTGCTCCAGACTCTCCCTCCTGTGCCAGGTCCTGCTCTTCCTACCACACCCTGAGCATGCTTCCCCCATGCCCTTCCCAGTGCTTGGTCTACCCTCTGCACTCCACCTCTGGGAGCTCATCCAGCTTTGAGATTCCGAGTGTCTCTTCTATACCGGACAAGCCCAGTCCTGGGCCCCTCTCCTAATCCTCCCGAGGTCCACTGCTGCCCTCCCTGGGGATCTCTGTTGGCTCGTCTCCCACTAGACAGCTCCTATGCAGACACAATGAAGTGCACCAAAAGCAATGGGGTTGGGCTCAGAATACATGACTGTCCAGCTTGCTACAGGGTCACCTGGCACCAGTAGGTGGTTTCTCCTCAGTGGCCCTGGTCCCCTCTGGCATGGTGGGGGCAACAATCCCTGGCCTGTCTCATAGGGCACTTTAATTAGCACTTGGGGGAAAATAAAACCACAACAAAAAGAGGATTCTTCTTTTCAAGCAACCCTCATCTGCCTGACATCGCCATCCCCCAGCTTCCAGGAGAGCTCTGTGGTTTTTCCCGCTGGGGTTTAAACTTCCTTTTAAATCCCTACAGTCACTCCCAGGCCCTCAAGGCCAGATGCCTGGAATCCCACTGGGACTGCACCAAGCCACCCTGTGCGCTGCTCTGCATCGTTGCTCCCATCAGGCCAGGCCTTTCCAAGAACGCAGGTGGTTCCCTGTTGCCTGTCAGATGCAGCATAACCCAGATTACCCCCACCCATGCCCCACCTGGGTTTTTGCAACCTTTTCTTCCCTTAGCAACCGACTTAGTTGGTCCACTTGAGTTCAAGGCCCACTTAAGTTCTGTGCCTTCCATAGGCAGCTCCTCACTTCCAGTTTTTCTTGTCACTTATCTAAACCTTACTCATCCGTGTGTCCTGATTCTCTTCAAGGCATTTCTGACTTCTAACTCCCTGTTGATTTTTCCTGTTAGCATGTCTGTGTGTCCACACACGTGGCTGGAATGTTGCTTTAGGTTTCCTTTTACTTTTTAAATTGTAGTACAACTGATCCTTCCTCCATCTAGTACTCCTTCTCTAGCACTGAAGCATTGGCCGTGGGTGTCAGAACCAGCCCAGTCTGCACGCAGGACCAATGTGGGCCTCCCTGAGCTTCGATTTCGCTCAGCAGTAACACGAGCTTGGTAACACTTACCTCACAGGACTCACTGAGGATTAAATACGATAACAATAGAAAATACCAAGCAGTGTCTGGCACCGAACAGAAATGCAAAATGTATTGGCTGAATTACAGCCTGGGCTTTAATCTTAGCTTCATATATAAAATAACAATTATTTATGATTTTTAAAATTTCAGACAAAATAAAATCTTATTCACTACATTGTTCTGTATTTCTCATTTACAACCGCTAAAGACATTCTTCTCAGTAAGGGAAACATTTGTTTCTTCTTTTTTTTATACATATTTTTATTGATTTCAGAGAAACATTTATATATATATTTATATATTTTATTGATTTCAGAGAAACATTTGTTTCTTCTTTTTATATATATTTTATTGATTTCAGAGAAGGGAAAGGGAGAGAGATAGAAACATCAATGATGAGAGAGAATCATTGATCAGCAAGCCCCCTACTGGAGATCAAGCCCACAACCCGGGCATATGCTGTGACCTCCTGGTTCATAGCTCAACACTCCACCTCTGAGCCACACCGGCCAGGCTGTTTCTTCTGATGAATTAGTACACTTCCGTTTATGTGGCAATGGAAACTACAGAATCTTAAGGCTTTCCAGTTTCTGCCTTTGGCAGCCAGGAAGCTCCAGAGCAACATTTTATACTCAATTGCAGATTTCCTCGCTGACCTGCAAGAGGCAGTGTGAGCGGGGAGAGAGTAAGGGCCCTAGGGTTGTAAGATGTGGGCTGGGGCACTCTTGGCCCCTTCTTACCCTAGATGACCCTACAGGCCTCTGTGAGCCTTAGTCTCCTCACTTGTGTCAAGGGGATAAGACGATGAGGATAATATCTATTTTTAGGACTGCTGTGAGATGATATGTTAAAAACACTTCACAAATTACCCAAAAAGTCATATGAAAGTTGGTTATTAGCAGCTGAGGTTTTCTAAAATGATTATTTTCCTTCTCTTCCCTCCCAATACTTGCATCCTATCTTTTAAACTTTGTTTTAATTGTTTTTCAGTTTTATTATAACTGTGCCTCTTGATTTGCTGTGATCCTTTTGGAAGTATACAGAGTACAAATAAATGACAAAATTATTCCTAGAGGACAAGAAATCAAGACCTTCACTTGTTTTGTATAATAACATTATACAACAGAAAAACACTTAGCTATACTGAATTGTTAAAGTAAGCTGAACTGTAGATTAGTCTGAGAAAAAGGGGCTTTTGAGGGGGCTTGTGCTGCTAATGATTGATGAGTTAGTCACTCATTCCTTCTTTCATTTGTCAAAGCTTACACTGATGCCTGCTGGGAGGCAGGCACTCTGTTGGGACTGGAAAAACAAAGGTGACTGACCCAAAACAGTGCTCACAGGGCAGGATAGAGGGAGGGATGTAAAAAGTAGTTTCACTGGAGGATACCGTCCGGAGTGGACAGGAGAAGGGGGTCTTTGAAGGCACATGGACTTTCTTTGGTCAGAAGAGGGAGGGAGAGGATCCAGGTAGAGGAAACACACAGGATGGTTTCTTCTGGTAACCCCAAGCGGTTCAGTTTGTTCAGGGAAGAAACTGGTTAGAGATTCACAAAAACAAACAAAGGTCAAACTAAGAACCTTATATCCTCCGAGGAACTTGGATTTTATCTTGAAGGGGAGGAGTATGTAGTCAGTGAAAGATGCTGATGGCCAGAAAGTGACTTGACCTTTTGAGACGCAGTATCGTACAAGTTGTGTGCAGTGTTTGACAATTACTCCTGAAGGCAGGACCTGACTCCAAGACGAGGACCATCTGCGGGAGGTATTCATATAGGGCCTGTATGAACATAGGCCAACTGAGATGTTGAGAAAGGGAGTCAGGTTCTGCACCAGGGCTGGACTAAAGGACCTTTAAAGTTCCTTCCAAATCAGAGATTCCTTGATTCTAAAGCAAACCCAGTAGCTGAACTGGGATCTGTGGCTGCGGAGCTGCTGTGGGCAGCAAATGGGTTAAGGCTCAAATAACTTTTATATATGAATTAATGTGTAGAGTTGGGAGCCAAAATCTGTTCCATTAATTTTTCCATCCATTCCAGGAGCAGTTAGGTACACACAGTAAAGTTTATTTTGGTGCATGGTATACTTCACTCCATTAAAAATAAATTAATCAGCAAATTCCTGCCTGGCTCAGCTCTGGTTTATGTAAATAGTGCCCAGCTGTAATGAGTTACAAGGTGTTATTATCTCACACACACAGAGGAGGCTTCACTCTGGAGCTCCGTTCACAACAAACTCATCTTAAATAAACTCAGAGAAGGCGGCTTGATTTGTAATGTTTTCACAGAAGTGGGATATACCTCATCCATATAGAGTTTCTTTATGTGACTCATTTTATAGCAAGTTAAATGAAGGAAGTTTGATGGGGGGAGGGGCAATATGGTCCCACGCCCCCTTTCTTCAATTTAAAGAAAATCCCCCAAGAGATGACCCACACTCAGAGGGAGGAGGGGACTGGTCCTCAAGTGCCCAGGCCCAGCTGGCTCGATAGCACAGGCTCAGAAGCTGGGAAGGGCATAGGAAGCTGGGCACAAGGCTGGGCCCTGTGATGGTACAGCAAAGCCAGGAAGAATGTTTTCTTCTCCTCCTCAACATCTCATACAAGGGGGAACCGAGAGAGGAAAGACAGCATGTCCTCACCTGGTTCACTGTTCTTGAGGCCTCTTTCCATATGACTTGGGATATGACAAGCACTTGGTCATCAGAGGCCTTTGGGGCCCAGAGGACAGGGCCTGGCAAGCCATGGACGAGCCAGAACAGTGACATCTCCGTGAATTGGAGGCAAAGGCAGCAGCAGGGACCCTCCTGAGCCTCTCCCTGCCTGTGTCTCTGAGCGGGGGGTACCCTCGGCTTATAGCACCTGCCGCCTCAGGTGAGTTTCTGAAAGACCCTGGATTAGAGAAGAATCATGGGAGAGTTCAATCTGACTCTTTTAATGGCCAACGCAACCCCACAGCTCACAGCCGGCGGACAGAGCATGGCTACCCATCTTGACTCAGCAGCATTACAAACTGCTCCTGGGCCACAGTGGGCCCTGGGTGGGGTGTCCTCTTTCTAATGTACCCCCATCCCTTCTGCGGCCTTTGGGAAAAGCTGTCCATCACAAGGTTGCTAGAGGGGACTTAGAGAATGTTTGCTGGGGAGCTCTTGCTCAGGGCTTCTCATGAGGGAGAAAACACCCCAAAAGAGCTTCTCCCATTACTAACCCCGACCAGATCAAATTCCTGGGTACACTAAGAGGAAAATCAACACAAATGGGGCCAGGTAGTTGACAGATGCTGTTCATAGGTCAGTTCAGGCCACTTTCTGCAGGGTCCTGGGCACTTCTTCTCTGGTGGTTCTTCAACACCAGCGGGCCAGCTGCTCAGAGGGACCAGCCCATCAAAGACCCTCGTCATTATAAACTGGGGAATGGGGCTTCAGGACGCTCTGAGGATTCTTCTCCACTAGAGGGCGCCAGCTCACCTCCCCGGTTAGAAGCAGATCCTCACCATTCATGGAGTCCAGGTACTGAATCTGAAACGGGGAGAGCAGCACATAGAGGAAAGGGACAGGGCAGAACAGATGTGAGATGGCGTAAGGAACCAGCCTTCCAAAGGAGAGAAAAGGAGGGGCATGAGGGAACTTCTGACCATCCCAGCTCTCAGGCCACGGGCAGCCTCTGATCTCCCAAATTATTTCACTTAGGAGGTTTGGAGAAACAAGTCACTGGGGAAACTCACTGGGAAGGCTTTAGAGAATTCCCTCATGCCTCCAAACAGACACACAGACACACAAACCCTGACTTTCTGGACTGAAAGAACTTTCTAGGGAGGATGTATCAGGGGGAGGTATGTCCTTGAAGTAGGGGTGTGTGCATGTGTGTGTGTGTGTGTGTGTGTGTCCATTCAGAGTAACAATGAATGGTACCCAGGTGAGTCAATTCCCTTTTCTGAGACTTAAGTTCCCTTGTCTGAGAAAGGTCTGAGAAAGGGGATAGTAACATATACCTCACAGGACTCATGACAAGATTATATGATAGAACATTACTAGTCCCTGGGACTTTTTGTCTCTGCTGTCCTCTAGTGGGCCCTGACTCTGGTCAGTGGGCCCCAGCTTCATCCCTCTAGGATGGCTGGGGAGTTATCCCCCTGACCAGCTCTGTGGAGAGGGGACACCTGAGATGCAGAATTGGAACAGCTGCAGGGGAGATATGGTCAGGCAGTTCTGCAGGAAGCAGGTCATCTAGTGAGTGACTAAATCTCAGGAGATAAGGGCAATCTCTGGAAACATTCCCCAGTGGCTGCTAATAAGGAGAGCAGAAGAAAAAGAAATGCTTTCAAATGGCCGGGCAAGATCTAGGGTGAGAGCAGGATCAGAACAGGAGTCAGCACTAGATTTAGAAAGATGAGACTCCATTTTGGAGTAAGAAGACATTTGGGGGATAATGGGAGGGGCAGGAGTCCAGAGGCCTCATCTTATGCCTCAGATCACCTGCCCCTTCCAATAATTCCTTCACTTCTGCTGTTTCACCTTCAGGCTGCTGGCCTTTGAACAGAACCCCAGTCTCTCCCATTACCTCAGGTCTAGATTCCACACATCCTGCTATCCTCTGGGGCAAGAAGATCAACTGACCCATTATCTTCCCTAAAATCCACTCCTCTTTCCAAATACTCCATTTCGGTACTTAGCGCCCCCACTCTGCCCACCTCCTGGGATGAAAATCTCAACATAACCCGACTGGGGCTTGGGACCACCTACCACACCAACTAGCATCCTGGTGTGGTACTAGAATCTGCCCAGGCCCCAGCTTCCTGGTCTCCCTTGTTCCCCTGGGTCAGACTTTGTCTCTCCTTTCTTTGCCTTCCACAGCACTCTGTTCCTACTGTATCACATCACAGAAGGACTTATTCCAGGGTTAGCCTTGTGCCTGACTGGCTTCCTCACCAAACCAGGAGCTGGCTCCTTAAGGGCAGGGCTAGGATTCAGTAATCTCTGCTTTCTGAATAGAGTGCCTGGCACAGAAGGTGCTCAAAACAGTTGCTCACAGAACTGGGTCCCTGTCAAAGCTCCAGGCTTCCCTAACAGCCTCATCACTGTTTTCCAATTGCCGGCCTCTCCTTGGGGCAATATGGGACTTCTTATAGGGCATCCGTGGGGCAATCCCTTCCTTTAGGACCCTCAGCTACCTCTTTGTCATGCCCCCTGGCACAGGCCCACCACAGCAGATGGAAAAGTTGGGCTGGTCTCTCAGAAAACATAGCATTTGCTTTGCCAATTGCTACTGCTGGCTGAGGGTGAGCCTAGTGAACAGTAAGAGTCTCAGAATTCTCTGTGGGTGGGGCCCTCTGGCCATAATGCCTTCTCTCTGGTGCTGGCAGATTTGAAGAACTGTCAAACAGAAGTCCTAGCTTCGGGGTTCTCTACCCTTTGGGTCTGAAAAGCCCCAGTATGTGGCTTTCCCAGCAATCAACAAGATGGTCCTGTTGCTGTCTTCTTCTCAAGAGCTGGGGTCTGGCCTTCCATTTTCTGGCTGTTGGAGGCTTGAAGGCCACAGACACAGGTGAATAAGAGAATAACTGTGGGGTGAGGCCCTTTCAGCTCCAGGGGCCAGGCCCATGAAGCAAAGATGTGACTCATGGGACAGCCTGAGCTGATGAGTTGTCTGGAGCAGCTGAGGCCTCTAGTGACTACATGAATCACCCAGCTTAGGGTTCTAGGCCAGCTGTGCAGGCTGACTCACTGGGAGACCCTAGAAAAGCATCTATGTTCCTCTTCCCTGCCACTCAGCTCACTCATCCATAAAGTAAGGGTTTCCCATCAATACGAGACGGGGGGCATAGAGATCAAGAAGTGAATTCTCCATGGGCCTGAGAAAAATCAATTAAGTAGTCCTCACTCTGGAGATTTCTCCTAGATCCTTGGGTTTCAGGAAGCCCTGGAGAGCTAGAGAAGTGAGGAATGAGGGGGTGGGGGGACCCTACTTGACTATGCATTGTGGGAAGAAGCTTGAGGGATGTCTGTGGAATGCTGCCTGGAGCTCAGTCCTGTTATAAATCCTGGGGCTCAAAGTAGGTATAGAAATGGTGCTACAGTGGGTGGTTGCATTGTACCCCATGCCCATACCTTATAGGACTATGTGTCCCAGGATATAGCACACCACTTGGCATGCAGAAGGCAATCAAATGTGCCATGAATGAATAAAAGTTCCTGAAAGCAGGTGCCTGTTCTCCTATTCCCATTCCATGACCTGTGGCCTAGCTTATGGTGGATACACAGAAAGTGCTCTTCTTCGGTGCCCACTGCTGACATGATTTGATCAGTGTTCCCTCAGAGTAGCGTCTGGGAACTCAGCCTCTCATGATCCTCTGGCAGCCCAGCACTGACAGACCTCGGGAAGGACCTGCTTTCCATGAGACTCTGGAGGGGAGGGGAAGGGTTACTCACCTGTTTCCTCACATATTCCACCAATAGTTCAAGCTGTCGGGGGTCTTCACATTTCTGGTTGAAGAAGGTTCTCCATAGGGCAGCAGCCAGCCCATGATCATCTGAAAGGATCCCCTGGAACACAGAGTACCACAGTTGGTCTTCTGAGGAGTATGGAAGAGCCATGATACAAAAGCTGGGGATATTGAGAATACACTAATAGCCATAGAATTGGCTCAGAAGGACATTACAGACACTATGAGAAACAGGGAAGCTACATGGTAGAGCTGGAAGAGGTTTTCAGAGAGTATCTGGTCCAAATTCTTCATTTTACACAGAGGAGAAACATGGAGACCAGAGGGGCTGAGTGACTGGCAGAGATGGGGCTTGTGTCTGGTTGACCCTCCCAGGCCACAGCTCCCTCTACTCAGCAGTGGTCCCACTTCTGTCCACAATGTATGGGCTTGAAATAATGGAAGAATATATTTTTTTCCCAGGAACAGAGATGGGTATGGACTGCACCTTCTCTCCTGGTCCAAGGACATATATCTACAAGGCAGCTGGTAATTTGGGGATGGAAACTAGGCATCTTGGCCTCAATGTTACCCAGCTCTAGCCTGGCCATCGCTGGCCCAGCCTCTCTAAGTAGAGGAACAGGCTGTTCAGCAATATTACCATGGTTCACAGAGGGAATGCTCAGAGCCTGTGTGTATGTGTGCCTAACATTGTCTCTCCCGGCACAGTTGGGAAGTCCAAATATCACAGAGGCTAATCAGCAGCTGGGCCATGAACTAGGGCCATTTTATTAGTATAGCTTGGACCTCTAAGGGAGGACAGGGGAGGGTCTTACTTCCTGTGATAAGGGCAACTGAAGGGAAAGGCCCTGAGAAGTTTTCTGTCCAGGTGCCAAGGTAGTGTATGGAACCAGACAAAGTGCTGACTGGGAGTTAGAAGGTTGGATCAAGTCCTAGCTCTGCCATTGCCAAGCTCAGAGATGGTGGGAAGTTCACTAAACCTGAGTCCCAGCCTTCTCATCTATAAAACAGAGATGAAAATACATGCCCTTCTCACAGCATCCTTGAATTATAAATAAAATATAACATAAAGATGTTTTGTTGAGTGTAATATATCACTTACAAAGATTAGGAGCTTGCTTTGGCAGGCAGCTGTTGATAATAGTTGAAACAACAGTGGGATCTGGGGATCAGACCATCTGACTTCAAATGGGGGCTCTGTCACTTGATGTCTGCATGGCCTATGAAAAGCTACTAGCTCTTCCTGAGCCCCAGCTTCTCACTGGCTAAACAAGCATAATACCTATCCCACAAAGTTGTTGCGAGAATTAAGAAATAATGGTCATGAAAGACCCTGTAAGTGTTAAATCATTACACAAAGACCCAGGACCATTTATTTGACATGCTGTGGGCTGGCCTCTGGGGCACTGCAGTACATGAGGTCTGGCTTCAGGTCTGCTGCCAGGAAAAGCCATGCCCAGTATGACAGTTTGGTGGAAAAATAGTCCACCTGTTCCAAATGTCCCTGCGAAACACCCCTGCAATTCCACCACTTAAGAGACTATCCTGGCACAATGGCCGAGTCAGGAAAACCAGCTTCTTCCGGGAGATGGGACAGGAGCCAAAGACTAGCTCAGGCACATCACCGTTTTCCTAGCTATTTGCTAACACAACAGACTGCCTGTGTCTGAAGCGCCCTGGGCACATGCTGGAGTGCTGCTGGCAGCCACCCACATGTGCTACATAGGAAGGAATAGAAGTGCGAGCGGGTGTTATGAGGACTTGGAGAATGAGCACAGAGCACAGGACAGCAAAAGCCATGGCCTGCTGCAAACAGGCAACCTTGGTGGTGGGTGAATGGCTGGGAAGGAGCAAACCCATAATCAGTTCCTGATTGTCAGAAGGAAAAGGATGACTCAGGACTCACATTAACAGTGATAACAGCCTGACTATTTCAGACTGTCAGAGTTCCTTCACACCTGGCTCCTAATGACTACGGGTGCCAAGAAGAACAGATATTATTGTCCTCATTTGAAAGAAAAGTACCCTAGGCTTGGAGGTCATCTAGCTAACTGAATGTAGAACTAGGACCAGAATGCACTGGTGAGGCCAGGGGATGGTGCCTGACTAGCTCTAGTTAGGATGCAATACCTGGAACAGAGTAGAAGTGCAAGAAAAATGGTTAACTAAATCTATGAACCCAGCTTCAGCCCTCTTTCCACCATGCTGCTAGTAAGTCAGTGAAAACAAATTGGAGACAGGTATGAGAGAGTATAAATTTCAAACCAAGGAAGCAGGAAAAAAGGGTGCCTTGGAACCAAATATTAGGTTGCATAGCAATTCTCTTACAATCTACTAGGGCACCTACCTGTTTTCCCTACGATGCCAAAAAAAAAAAAAAAAAAAAAGCAGCATCCTTCAGGAAATAAAGATACCTAGGTCTAGAGAGTAACTGAGAGGAAGCCAAAAGGGACTCTCTGGCTCTAGAGCAGCGGTTCTCAACCCGTGGGTCGCGACCCCTTTGGGGGTCGAACAACCCTTTCACAGGGGTCGCCTAAGACCATCGGAAAACACATATATAATTACATATTGTTTTTGTGATTAATCACTATGCTTTAATTATGTTCAATTTGTAACAATGAAAATATATCCTGCATATCAGATATTTACATTAGGATTCATAACAGTAGCAAAATTACAGTTATGAAGTAGCAACGAAAATAATTTTATGGTTGGGGGTCACCACAACATGAGGAACTGTATTAAAGGGTCGCGGCATTAGGAAGGTTGAGAACCACTGCTCTAGAGGGCTCTGGTGATAATTAAGGGTTTAGAGTAGCAGAGTCTCACTCAATGAAGACTGATTTGACACCATGATGTGCTTAGCTTGATGCTAGGAACAGAATCACAGCAATATGGTCTTGCTCACAGGAAGCTTGCAATCTAGTTGAAGGAACAAAGCTAGTGCACATCAAAATAGGCTTAAATCTTGGAGAATAAGCAAATGCTAATCTGTATAGTGAGACCCTGAGGTATACTCTGTTTGTGGCTGGCTCCCATTCTTGAGTCTTAGCTTCTATGACAACTCTTCAGAGACCTCCCCACACTAAGTACATTCCCCCTGTTGTTCTCTATCACTGCACTCTATTTTACTGCCTATCTCCTCTTTGGTAATGGGGAGATAGGCAGTAAACTAAGTGGGAAAGAACCAGACTATGTTTGTTTTATTCACCAATATATTCCCAGTGGAACACATGGTAGGCATAAATAAATACCTGTTAATTGATGGGTGGATAGTGAAGTTCAGAGTAAGAGACAGAGATCTAGAGAAGTCAGGGAAAGCTGTGGAGAAAGGGGCCTTTAGGAATGGAGAATATTTGGAGAACTACAGGACATTCTAAGCAAGAGAGGATAATTTTAGTTTACTAAACATTTATGGAGGGAGTTGCCTACAAGGTGCCAGGCCTTAAACCAGGCCCACAGGGGCAAAGCTGACAGACTGAGCTATTACCCTCTAAACCTGGTTGTCCAGAAAAGCCTCAATCAGGCACAGCATGTCTGTGGGGCAGCGAGGCAAATGGCCTCACTTGGGAAAGCTACATATCAGCAGGAAATGAGAGATAAATGTAGATAGGATATGTCATAATGAGGATGGTTTACAAAAGGCCTGAAGTTCCCTGAACCTAACGTAGGAGCAAACAAGAAGGTTCTGAAAGTATCCAGGGTGGGGCACAATCCCAGCAAGAGTCTAGGGCAGTGGTTCTCAACTTTCTGGCCCTTTAAATACAGTTCCTCATGTTGTGACCCAACCATAAAATTATTTTCGTTGCTACTTCATAACTGCAATTTTGCTACTGTTATGAATCGTAATGTAAATACCTGATATGCAGGATGTATTTAGGCGACCCTTGTGAAAGGGTCGTTTGACCCCCAAAGGAGTGGCAACCCACAGGTTGAGAACCACTGGTCTAGGGAAAGGTGCTGGTCTAGGGAAACATCAGTTAAATCAGAACTTGAGGGGGATAGGGCCTAAATATTGGTATTTCTAAAAAGTGTCCCAGGTAGTACAACACTGTCCACTGAGATTTCTGTGATGATGGAAATGCTCTACTACTGCACCTGAAATATAACTAGTGCAACTGAGGAAATTAAAGTTTAATTTAATTAATTAATTTTTTAAAGCACATTTTTGTTTTTGTTTTTTTATTTCAGAGAGAGGAAGGGAGAGGGAGAGAGAGATAGAAACATCAAAGATGAGAGAGAATCATTCATCAGCTGCCTCCTGCACACCCCCACTACTGGGGGTGGAGCCCACAACCTGGCACTGATTAGGAATCAAACCAGGATCTCCTGGTTCATAGGCTGATGCTCAACCACTGAAGCACACCAGCTGGTTTTAATTTTATTTTAATTAATTTAAATCAAAATAGCCACATGGGGCCCAGCTGGTGTGGCACATGCCCGGGTTGCCACTGCTGTACCATACTGCTTGCAGCTTGTTAGCAATGCAGAATCTCAGGCCTCACTCTAGACTTGCAGAATCTGAATTTTACCTAGGTCTCCAGGTGATTCGCATGCACATTAAAATTTAAGAAAGACTGTTCTAGAATTGCATATCAAAATCACTTAGGGAACTTTTGTAACTATAAATGCCAACCTACATCAGTTAAATCAGAACTTAAGGGGGATAGGGCCTAAATATTGGTATTTCTAAAAAGTGTCCCAGGTAATTAGTATATTTCCCAAACGTTCCCACTTTTAAAAGTCACCTGGGGTACTTGTTGAAATACCAGGCCCCACTTCAATTGAACTGGAATCTTCAAAGAGGTGCTCAAGAATCAAATTCAAAAAGCACCCCAGGTAACTCTTGTGACCAGGCATGTTTGTAAGATGACTCTTCTAGGATGGCCTAGGATAGGGGACAGAGAAGAGATGCAATTCAGAATATATTTGTTAATATTGGTGAAAGAAATCAACGGAGCCAACTGCTATAAAGACTTCAAACGCCAATAGAAAGAATTCGATTTCTTCAATTCTTTTTTGGTTAATCCTCCTCACCCAAGGACATTTTCCCATTGATTTTTAGAGAGAGTGGAAAGGAGGGGGAGAGACAGAAAGAGAACAAGATCGATGTAGAGACACATTGATTGACTGCCTCCCATAAGCGCCCTGACCGGGGCCAGGAATTGAGCCTGCAACCGAGGTACATGCCCTTGACTGGAATTGAACCTGTGACCCTACAGTTTGTAGGCCAATGCTCTATCCCCTACATCAAACTGGCTAGGGCTATATTTTTGCAATTCTAAGCTTCATTTTTTTATACACTGTAAGATCTCTGAAATCAGATGTATCTGATTTAACAACTAATGTATAGATTCAAGAATGTTTCTCAACTCCCATCTCATTCCCAGAAAGTTCATGTTAAATTAATGGTGTGTGGGGTATGCAACCTAAATTGCTCTTATAATTGGCTATCTGGTGGACTGAGAATCAGAAAACCTCCATCTTAACTAGTCCTATGACCTTATACAAGTCATTTACTTAATTTTTTGTAAGCTTCTCTCCTGGCTTTAATTATTATCTTTAGGCTGATAACATTTCCTCCACCCTGAACTCTAGTTTCTTACTTTCATCCTTTTATGTATTTCCTCCCTTCCTTACTCACCTACCCTGTGCCAAGCACCATGCTAGCCAATAGGAACACAGACACAGCAGATACTGCCACTACCCAGAAGAAACCCCCACCCAGGATGACAGTTAATGTTAATGCAGTACAGGCTGTGGAGTCCAGGGAGGGCAGAATGGCTGAACCTGGGGAAGTGCTGGGACCATTTCCCAGGAGGGGTGATGCTTACACTAAATCTGGAGGTAACCACAAAATGAGCATAAAATAATAAAAGCACATGGTTTATTAAAATAGATGAGATATGATGAATCCTGGTGATGTGCACACAGGTATTCATTACACCATTCTTTTAACTTTCTTATGTTTGAAATTTCCATAATAACAGGGGGGGAAAGATGAGACAGATGCTACAACATGGATGAACCTTGAAGACATTATGCTAAGTGAAATAAGCCAGACACCAAGGACAAAAACTGTATGATTCCACTTATATAAGGCATTTAGAATAGTCAGCATTATAGAGACAGAAAGCAGAATAGTGGTTACCAGGGACTGGGGAGGGGGGGTGGAGGGGAGGGGGGGGGAATGGGAGAATAGTGTTTCATGAGCACAGAGTTTCAGTTTGGGTAGATGGAAAAAGGTCTGGAGCTGGATGGTGGTGATTGTTACTAAAAAATGTAAATGTACTTAATATGACTAAAATGTACATTTTAAAAATGATTAAATTTTTATGCTATGTACATTTTATAATAAGAAATGAGATATCCTCGGGTGAAGATTAAAACAAACAAACAAAAGAGCTACATCTAGATGCTCTGATGTGGAAGAATCCCCAAGATACAGTGTTCAATGAGAAAAGCAAGTTGCAGAGCATGTGTATAGCATGCACTTCCATAAAAAAAATAAATATATGGTGCTGTGTGTGCCCAGATAAGGTCTGGAAGAACACCCAACAGACTATTAACAAAGTTTCCTCTGGGGCACGGAAGTGGGCAGGACAGGACAGGGGCCTTTCATTTTCTACTTCAAACACTTATGTACAGTTTCATTAATTTTTAAAATGAGTATGTATTGCTTTTATAATTAAAGACAAAAAAGTGTGCTATTTGTCTGGCAGATGGTACTGTTTATATGTGTATGTCTTCCTCTCTCTGGAGGCACCTGGGGCTGAGAAAGTGACTGATTTGCCTTTGTCCCTCCATCCAGTTCCCTACAGGGACTCAATAAATGCTGACTAGTTGAATGAACTGCCCATATTATATGGTATTCTCTTCCCCAAGCACAGGCAAACTAGGGCACATAGTTGCCAGTGAAGATGAGCAAATAAATACTAAGCCATGATGGCAGGCAGAGACAACCCCTGAAGCTTTGCTCGGAGGCTCTCATCACAGGCCTTTGTTGGGGAAGGCCACTGTTCTGCCTAAGGCTTTGCAATGATCTTACCTCATCATATCCCAAGATTGCTGCATAGAAATTATTTGTCATAACCATCATGTTCTTCTTCAGGATATAGGGATTAACCTACAAGAAACAAAATTGCAAGAACAAAAGTATGAAAGAAAGGAACAAACTAAAAAGTAGGATCTTTGGCTTTTAGCTGTCAGACACTCCTAAGACAAAGAGAGAGAGCCCCTAACTGGCCAAAATGCCAGTTCACCCCATTTCCCTGATTTGTCAAGGATTCTCCCCAGCTTGACAGCTTTAAGGTTTCAATGCCAAATTACACAAAGCAATAACTTGGTTTAATGAACTGAGCCCCAACTGAACACAAAGTAGAAGAAACAGTTTCCTCACTGGAGGAGCATAGTCTAGTATTAGAAAACAGACATGTAAAAACTACAGTTGACCCTTGAACAACATGGGTATGAACTGTGTGGGTCCACTTATACACGGATTTTTTCCCCAATAAGTGCCTGTACTGTTTTCCATCCACAGTTGGGAGTCCATGGATTAGGAGGGCCAACTGTATATATTGATCTATGCTACTTTATCTATCTATCTATCTATCTATCTATCTATCTATCTATCTATCTATCTATCTATTTTTTAAATATATTTTTAATTGATTTGGGAGAGGAAGGGAGAGGGTGAGAGATAGAAATATCAATGATGAGAGAGAATCACTGATTGGCTACCTCCTGCATGCCCCACAGTGGAGATTGAGCCCGTAACCTGGGCATGTGCCCTGACCAGGAATCGAATTGTGACCTCCTGGTTCATAGGCAGATGCTCAACCACTGAGCCACCATGGCCGGGAGATCTATACCACTTTACATAGAGGACCACGGATTTTGGTATCCACAGAGGGTACTGGAACCAATCCCCCATGGATACTGAGGGTAGTTTTGGGGGAGTCAAAAGTTATACATGGATTTTCAACTGTCCAGGGGTTCACTATCATGTTGTTCAAGGATCAACAATAATTACTTGCAACGTGTTGTCTCAAATTCTATTCCAAACGTGGTGAGCCATAAATGAATTTGTGTGTTTTTTTTGTTTGTTTTTTTTTACAGAGAGGAAGGGAGAGGGATAGAGAGTTAGAAACATCGATGAGAGAGAAACATCGATCAGCTGCCTCCTGCACACTCCCTACTGGGGATGGGCCCGCAACCAGGGTACATGCCCTTGACCAGACTCGAACCTGGGACCCTTGAGTCCGCAGGCCGACGCTCTATCCACTGAGCCAAACTGGTTAGGGCCATAAATGAATTTTGGTACAAATGATCTCTGCATGGGAGATTGGGAAAGAGTTCTCTCCATACTCCAGTGGACCTCAGAGGAGGAATGTGGCAGAAGAGAGTAAGGGGGAGAAGAGATGACATTCTGGACAGAGGGAATAAGGTGTGCAAAGGTGGAAAGGCATGTAAAAAATTTAGGGAGTCCCAAGAGGGGTAAATGAGCAGGAACACTGGTAAGATCTGATGGGTCTAGATTAGGAAATGTCTTAAGGACCACTCGAAAGAGCCTGTTGTGGTAAAAGGACAAAAGAAGGAAGTGACAGATGTGGGAACAGGAAGGAGAGGCAGGACTATGAGATGCTGAGGAGAAAGAAGGGACTCTGAGGCTATGGACAGGAGAAGAAAATAAGATGGGCTGAAGTAGTAAGATTGTTATTCTAGAAATGCAATTCCAGTGAGACCACTGAGACCCTGGTAGGATTCCTTTCAGAGAATGGCCAGGAGGGCCTTCAGAGCCTAGAGCGCAGTTCACTGAATATCTTCAATAGGGCAAAACTTTGACCTCCAAACCTCCAGAAATATGCTCGAGGGCAGGATCCAGCTTTCATTCCTCTCTGGAATCCTAGCAGGAAGTCGAGTGTAATGTGCAATATGTAGTAAGAACTTGTTAATTATTTAAGCTGACAGGTTATTTGGAGCTTTATATGGAGAGTAAGATTTGTGCTTAACAACCCTGACAATGACCAAGCTCACTATCCTCTTTTCCATTTACTGAATACTGGTTAAGGACCAGGTGCTTTATGGACATCATCCCCTCTAATCGTCATGGGAACTCAGAGAGGTAGATGTGGTATAGTCATGTTTGTATAGACACAGAAAACTGAGACTCAGACAGGTGAAGTGACTTGCCCTAGGTCCCACAGCAAATTAGTGACAAAGCTGAGATTAGCATCCAGGTCAATCTGATTCCAAAATCTATGTGCCTTACATTCCATCAGGTTACTGCCTTCAGGAGGATAATTTTACTTTGGTTCATAAATTCAATACTGAGTGATTTAATCCTGTGGTTTATAACTGGTCTCTGAAGAGGGCAGAAAAGAGTAGTGAAGGATTTAGTCATAAAACCTGAGTTCAAGTCTTAATTCTGCTATGTTACATAGGATGTGATCTTGGGTAAGTCAAGTAACCTCTGAGTATTTCCTTGTCTTCTAAATGTCCTACATGCAAATGCTGGTGTGAAGAGCAAATGAATTAGCATGTATTCATTCACTAATGCAACAACGTACGCTGAAAGCCTTAGTAAGTTGTGAAGTGCTCTGCAACTTCAAGGAATTATGAGTAATACCTTCGGTTTGTTTGTATAAAACTAAAATCAGTTCCAATACTTTATAGTTATGAATAATGTTCAAAAAGGAAGAGAGAACTGTGAAGCTCAAGACTGGAAAATGTGAAATTGGATGCAAGCAGATAGTACAATCCATGACCTTTCCCACCCCACCTTCAACCGAGGCCAAATAAAACATCCATCTTTGTGTTCCCAAAGCTCTCTGTTCACACTTCTCCCTCTGGGTACATAACATGGTTTAGAATTGCTTAAGTACCTGTCTCTCCCACTAGTCTGTGAGCTATTCAGAGGTCATAAGGAACTCTGATTAATCTCAGCAACCCTATCACCCAGTCCAGAGCCTGGCCCAGAGCAGGATTTAAGACTGGCATGCTGATGACTGAATCCTTACAAGGGCCTGAGTGCCTCGCATAACATGTTCTATCCAATGATACCCATTTATTTGTTTCTGAAATTTCATACACATTTACTGCTGAACTTCTACTGCACCATCTTCTAGAATGGGCTGAGGTGAAAGGAGTCAAGAAATAGGCCAGAGCTAGAGTTAATGTGAGGATGGGACTACAAACCCAGACCCGTTGGTACCTATTGTGGGGCTCTCCCTACTCCCATACTAGCTGTTCTCCTAATAGTGCAAGAAGGACCGGATCCATAAACAAATGCTGGAGTTGTCAAACACGAAGGCAGGAGCATCTCTCAGAGGTAAACATTCACTGAACACGCTCACAGAGCTGGTTTATATGTGGCATCAAACCAGTAGGCTTTGAGCTGGAAGGGCCCTCAGAAACCACCTAGCTCAATCCCTTTGAAAAAATGGTAAACTGAAACCCAAAAAGAAGACAACTGTCCAAGGTCACACATCAGGTTAGTGTTCGAGTCAGAATTGGAACCTGATTTCTGGAGTGCTTTTCCTATTTCACCGTCTGCAGGGCTTTTCCAGAGATCACCAACACATTACTCTGCAAACCTCAGTTCTGCTTTTCAGCAAGGTCTATTTACATATGAACACACTTTCTTCTCTTGGGATGCACCTGCATTCTGGCTGGCTACTGCCCAGCAAGAGTGGATAGCAGGAGTGGAATTCCTTATTAGCAAGGCTCTTCTATCTCCTTGTCCTATATTCTAACACCAGTGTCCTGTAAACTGCCTCTCCCCCTCACCTCTAACTGAGAAATGGCAAGCAGCCACAGCTAGAAATGGTTTTCAGATATCATCACCCAGGCTGGATTAGATCATGAAAAGGGCCCTTCCTGGAAGAGGGTGGAAGCTCAATCAGTGCAGATACATGATATGCAGGAAACAGGTGAGCATAAGTGAGAACAGCTTCCTGAACTACTGGACTCACCCCACTGGGCCCTTCTAGCCAGCCCAGCAGCCAAGGGGAGCTGGATATTCCCTCTGGTGAACCTCTGTTGGGATTTTATTATCTCATTTAAGCTTGTTTGCTGGTGTGCAGGTTATGTGTCCCCATTGCTAGATCATCCTATATGGAGCACCCTGTCCATGAATACACAGACGGAGAAACTCCTCCCAGATAGCATTGGGACGTTTTCTTATTAAACTCTTATCCTTTTCATAATGCTTCACTTTTTATAAAAAGCCATATATATAGCACCACCACAAGGAAAAGGTTCCTTTTATATCAGTTTACTCATATTTTCCCATTTATTTAAGCTATTAAAATTCATGCAGATATTTTATAAGCCATCAGGATTTGGTGACTGGTATTACTGAATGTTTAATAATAAACTAAACAGAAGAAATCAGAGGGTTAAATGATGACTGCAATTCCTGTAATGACTTAATTAAATTTTTATTGAGTACATAAACTATGATGTCATTTCTAGCCAACCATGGGTGTGCTTTCCCAGCATGTCACAGGGTGGGAGCACTCAATAGGAGGCTATGCTAAATGAGCAGCAAGTCTCAGCTGAAATGGGGAGGGGAGCAAGGCTCATGTAACACACTCAATAAATTATCCGTTCATTTTTTAAACAAAGTCCATGAGTTATAATATATTTGCCATGCACTTTTTATGACATAATAAAAATGTTACCTTAAGGATTACTTAACACATACTACAAATGTTATAGCAGAGGCAGGCACAAGGGGCAAAGAAAACAAACATGAGCAGGCCAGAGACGGGTCCTGGAGTTTACATCCTGGGGGAATAGCATAGTATATTAAAAAGGGAATGCAAAAAAGGGAGGGGGATGCAAGAGTTCAGGGTTACTAATCAGCAGATTAATGAATGAGACAACCAACAGGGAGCAAAATTAAAGCAATAATGAATCTTTCAAGGCACATGTTTAATTAACGTAGTATTCTCAAGGAGGAATATTAGCTGTAAAGAGATGCCAGTTCATTTGAGGCCAATTTTCTGTCCTCTTTCCCGTTTTTGCTGTTGCTGCTCTTAAATACGTTTATTTGACTGCTAACAGATTATGTGGATGGGGGACTGATGGAAGATTAAGTTTAAACTCTTCCAAGAGCTCTAC